GATATGGACTTGATGGCACCAACAAGCATTTTAACTCTAGAAAGTAAAATATTAAAGAGTAAATTATAAGAAAATATGCATTTGTAGTAACACAGATAACAAATTAATGTAATGAAAATAAAAGAAAATAAGTGAGAGTCTGCATAGGCAGAATTAAGTATGATGCACAAAAATAAAAGAGTCACAACTACAGCACTTAAACAAAATCACAAGCAGGAGTCTTGGGAAACTTTATTCCAGTTAATATGAAAGTTTAGATCAAATGGCAGCTTTAACCCATGTTGGTTTTTATCCTATCCAAAAACCAAAGGTTTCTTATTCTCTGGTTTATACCCTTTCCCCCCAAACCACATATTCCAGTGCCTCAGGGTCATTGCAATGAGGTACCACCACCACCACCCCACCCCACCCCATTCTGGAGCAGTGATTTCTTTTAAAAGGATCGGCATGAGGCTGGCCACTATAAGATAGAGGTTGAAGACATCCAAGTGTCTGACTTTCCTAAAATGCTATGTTGTTGTTAAGTGTCACTGAGTCAGTTCTGACTCATATCGACCTTCAATAGGGTTTCCAAGGAGTGGCTGGTAGGCTTGAACCACTGATCTGACCTTGAGATTAGCAGTCCAATGCTTATCCTACCGTGCACTCCACAATCCCTGATATCAACTACTACTCCTCCCCTTCAATATTTATCTATATGTCCCAGGGTTCCACAATTCACTGTAACTTCTCACAGAACTTATGGGCTAGTAAGGAAATGGCTCACACAATTGTGGAGGCTGGCAAGTCCCAAATCTGCAGTTCAGACATCGTTCTAGAGGAGATATATTAAACAGTTCACAATACTGCAGAAATTTGCTGTCATTAAGTGTAGTTGAATCAGTTCTGACCCATAGCGACCCTGTATAGAGGTTCTGAAGAGTTGCCGGTGAGCTTGAATACCGACCTTGTGGTTCAAACTGACTTTGCAGTTCCAGCACGTTAACATGCCAGGACAGAAATTTAAGGGGGTGAATATAGTTGCCCAACTCAAAGAATATAATCAATCAATGTCACTAAGAAGTACATGTGGAAATTGAAGAATTGATATATGTGTTGCTGTATATATTCCCAATAACAACAAAAATAAAATATTTAAAACTATGGTGGAAAGAAATACACGGTTTCAGAATAGTATCTCTGTTAGAGCAGCACTAAGTAATTAAGACATAAGTCTAGACAAAGATTTGTAAATTTTGTTGATCTTTTCAAAAATCACATCTTTGGGTTGATAGCTTTTCTTTACCGTTTATCTATACTCTATTTTGCTTATTTCCACTCCAATTATGATTATGTCCTTCTTCTTTCTTTGGGTTTAATTTGTTCTTCTTTTTCTAATTCCGTAATGTAGAAGGTTAAATAGTTGGTTTGTTCTTTTTCTTTTGAAATACATATAAGTATCTATAACTATAAATTTCCCCCTGGGTTCTGCTTTCACTGCATTCCATAAATTTGGGTATAATGTGTTTTCATTGGAATTTATCTCAAAGTACTTTATAATTTCTCTTGTGATTTCTTCTTTGACTCTTTAATTATTTAGGAGTACATTATTCAATTTTCGTATATTTGTAATTTCTCAAATTAATTTGTTACCTTTTTTTTCAAATTTTACTCCATTGTGGTTGGAGAACTTACTTTGTATGGTTTCATTTCTTTAAAAATCATTGATCCATGTTGTATTGCCTAATATATCATCTACCTTGGAGAATGTTTCATGTGCACATGGGAGGAATATGCATTGTGCTATTGTTGCTGAGTGGAATGTTCTATAGATGTGTAATTGGTTTATAGTGTTGTTCAAACCTTCCATTTTCTTGATGACTTGTCTAGTTGTTTCATCCATTACTGAAAGTGGGCCAGTGAAGCCTCCAACTATTATTGTTGACTTGCCTTTTTCTCTTTTCAGTTCTGTCAGTTTTTTCCTTCATGTGTTTCAGGGTTTTGTCATTATGTGTAATATGTTTATACTTACTAACATATCATATTGTTTTGTAGCTTCAGTAACTTTTCCTCTGTCTGAGGTATCCTCCTAAGAAACATTACTGATTACGTTTCTGCCTTGTTTTAAGGTCTCTCTGAGTAATACAGAATAAAATCTTAGTTTGGTCAACAAAGCTCCTCACAATGCAGCCCATTCTTGCTTTTCCACATAGAATTAATGCTTATGATATGCTAAAGTTTTCACTATTCCTTGGACACAATTGAGTTTTACATGTGTTTGTTGTGTCTTACTTTACATCCTGCCTAATTGGGCCACACATTTTTAACTTGGTTTTTCTAGATTTAAATTAAAGCGAAATTCATCGACCACACCTTCTGAAAAGTCTTCCCTGGCTATGTTAGCCATGTCCTCAACATCCCTTCTGAATTCCTATAGCACTTGTAAGTCTGTCTGTTGATTTGATTTATTTGTCTGTCATCATTTATCTGTATAATCTCCTGTTTCGCTAAGGCATTTCTAATCTTGGTCAAGGGTTTGTGTCTCTCAAATATATTTAAGAAATCTATAACATCTAACAGGCATTTTATACACCATATATATTTTCAGAACTCCTGATGTGGCACTGTAGGATTAACACTGGACTGCTAACTGAAAGTTTGGTGGTTCAAACCCACCAGCTGCTCCCTGGACATCCTATAGAGAGTCACTATGAGTTGTAAACTACTCGATGGCACTTAACAGCAACAACAACATATATTTTCAGTGTGCATCATTGTTGATGATATTATAGAAGCTATTTTTCAGCAATGATAGTCAAAAGAACAATTTTACATATAGAAACTAACTCGCCACAACCATGATTGGAGAAACTAATCAACTACTTCAAAGAACATTTTGTTATTTATTGCTGCTTTAGGAACACCCCCACCAGTCCCCTCATTGGCATTCTGCAGAAATGGTGGAACCTGGGAAAATGGCAGATGTATTTGTCCAGAAGAATGGAAAGGTCTGAGATGCACATTCAGTAAGTCATTTGGAATAATACCAGGGTGTGAGGTTTTGGTGACTCTTATGTGAATATAAAAGCAAAGCTTCTGGAAACCTCAGTTAACACAATTACAGTACCAATAGCCACAATGGTAATGACTTTAAAATATATTTATTAGTTCCAGAAATATATTTTATTGATTTTTCTTACTGAGTTATTGAGTTTTCTTCCTAGGTTGAAGATCTGTAGACCTGAGCATGCAATATACCATTTCTGTCTTCAAATTGTCAGAAATCTCTGTAAACCTGCAATTACATTCTTTTTTTTTTTTTTTTTTCTGTTTGTACTATTGAAATAAGGGTAAAGTTTGAGATGCTTCTCATAGATTCTTTTGGTTTGTGATAGGCCATATTATTCCAATTCAAATATCATAATTCTAACATATTTAAATTTTCTGAAATCAAGGAGTCACTTCCTATCAAAGTATTCATATGTACATATGTTATTGGGGAAGGGGAAGCTTTTCCCCATTTCCTTAAATAGTTTCTATTAAATCAGTAGTTTGAATTCAATCAATGGTATAAAAATTCAAAGAGCCAAATTTGACACCATTGATTGAAGTCAAAATAGAGTAACAATTCAAATCCATATATTGATCTGAATTGTGTTTCCCAACACTCTGCAAACTTAGCGCTGCCTATACATGGTTACTATGAGTCAGAACTGACTCCATAGCCTACCACCACCACCACTTAGGATCCAGAGCCCTAGAATCTCCATGTCAATCATTCCTGTACTCCTGCTAGTGGGAACTCAATGATTTCAGTCTTTTTTCTTTGAACCACATCCTCATGATGTCCCTTGCCACTGAAATATCTTTAATTCTCAAGATCCCAACTAATCTGAGACATTATCCTTTGCTGATGAGCTAGTGCTCATAAAGCTACCTTTATCCAGTTACATATTCTGTTTTTATCTCCTCCTCTAACCTGCTATCTAATCTACAGGTAACTCTAATGTCAGTAATATTAACTAGGTAGGAAAGCATGGAAATCCATGTTAGGACATTGGGTCACATAGACTTTCTACCCTTCTTTGGGTTAATGGAAGTCCAATGTCACTTTCTAAGGCTCTGAATTTGAACTTTCATCTGTTTTCAAATTTGAAAAATAAAAAGTACACACTTATGAATAATTTTTTTCTCCTCATTACAGTTAATTTCTGTAACGAAAGTACGCATGATAATTTACATTTTAACAAAATCCCAGTGGGAAGATATGGACCTTCCAAAGAAACATGTGAAAAGGACACTGCGAATGGTATGTGTGTTTTCAAACATCTTTGTTTAGGCATAAGAATCCCTGTGCTGGGTTATGTATACCTCAGGTACCTCTGACTAGTATCAGGTCCCTTGATACTTGTATCAAGGAGGTTTTTTACAAGAGCTTGACTACTTTTCATGATGCCAGTGTTAAAAATTTAAGGTGGTACCTAACGTAATCCTAATTTTTCTCAAAATGTTAAAATATTGTTGTTTCTGTTGAGTTCATGAACACATGAACTCATATGTTGAGTTCCGACTCATAGGTACACAGCGTCTGGTGCTGTGACATCCTCACAACTGCTGCTATGCTTGAGTTTATTGTTGCTGCCAGTGTGCCAGTCCATCTCGATGGGGTCGCCCTCTTTTTCTCTGTCTCTCTACTTTACTAAACATGAAGTCTCCAGGGACTGGTCCCTCCTGATAATGTGTCCAAATTATGAGAAACAAAGTCTGGCCATCTTGGCTTCTAAGGAGTATTCTGGTTGTACTTCCTCCAATGCAGTCTTGCTTCTTCTTCTGTCAGTCCATAATAGAACAAACTTCATCTGGCAGTTTGTCGTACTGTGGTAGCTTATATGTTGCTATGATTCTGGAAGCTATGCCACAAACTTTATAAATACAATCAGGGTCACCCATGGTGGACAGGTTTCAGCTGAGCTTCTAAATGAAGACACATTAGGATGAAGAAGAGATGGACTACTTCCAAATATTTAGTCACTGAAAACCTTATGAATAGCAG